TACCTTTACCTTTAATTGCTCTCTTTTTGTGATTTCAAAGTTTTACCCTTTAGCTTAGAGCTAAGAATAAACATGTTTTGACTTGGAGATTAGATCTAGTTCTATTTAGCGTTTTTTTAGAGAATCTAATTGGGATAAGGCAAAAATGGAGTTGAAAGGAAATTTCTAAAAAATTTACAAGGTTTTTCGACATTGGCTTGTGGTGGCCGACAACTCGACAAAGATTGTACAACTTTTGTATACAGTACCGGCATTTGGAAATTCTTTGAAACTTTCTATCAACATTTGTCTAGTGAAGAAAAAGGTTAGAGAGAATTTCTGAAGAGAAAGAGAGGACAAGTGAAAAAAAAAAAAATCAGCTTTAGATACGCCAAACTAGACAATGCCATTTTGGGAAAGAGATGATGCGTGCATTCTACCGACCTGACCCAAAAGCAATCAAGCTCCAACTCGATCTAACTCAAATGTTGAGTTGATCTTAAGCTTCTAAACCAAGTTGTCAAAATGTTTATTAAGTCTTGAATCAAGCTTATCTGTTGAGCCATTGATCATTTATTAACCATTTCAATCTTGATATATATATATATATATATATATATTTGTTTAGATTAAAAATTATTTTTTAAAAATAAAAAATTAAAATTAAATTCACAAAAATCTTACTAAATTATTGAAAGATTTTTAAAAGTTAAAATAATAATAACTTTGAGATTAAATTGATAAAAATCCTATCAAATTATAGGATAATTTCATGAGTTTAAAAAATAAATTTTTAGAAATAAATTCATGACAACCTATTAGAATATTGGAGGATTTCATGTGTCTTTAAAATAATTTTGAAATTAAAATTTTGAAATCTTACCAAAGTATTGAAAATTTTTCATGACTTTAAAAAATAAATTTGAAATTAAATTCATAAAATTTTATCAAACTATTGGAATATTTTTTATGTTTTAAAAATAATAAAAAATAATTTTTGAAAATGAAGTCTTATTAAATTATTGAAAAATTTTATTGAATTGAAAAAATAAATTTTTAAAAATAAAATGATGATGGAACTTCTTTTAGAGTAAGAATAATCTCCTTGAATATTTTTAAGGTGATAAAATATTTTTAAAATCTATTTGTATCATATTAAAATAATTTAAAAACAATTTCCAATTTATAAATTATTTGAGAAGCTTTTTAAGATATTTTTTTATACTTTGAATAATACAAAACAATTAATAAAATCTTTTGAATAAACGTTGTAAGATGTTATTATATTTTCTAGAGGTGTAATCGATCAAGTTCGAGTTCGATTCAAAATTTGATGCTCAAAATTCAGTTCAAACTCGATCAAATTTTATTTTTTTAGTTCGAATTCGACTCAAGATAGAAATCGAGCTATTTGAGTTTGCTCGATTGGGCTCGATTAATATATAAAAGTAAACTTAATTTTTATATTTGATCAAAGTTCGATTATTTGTGTTCGAACTCGAGCTCGAGTTCGAGATATTTTATTAATTAAAATAATAAAAATATATTTAAATATAAAAATTCGATTAGGCTCGTGAGCTATTTGAGTCGGGTATAGAAATACTTGAACTCGGTTCAATCGATGAGTCGAATTATTCAAGCTCGAGTTCGACTCAATAATAATGGAGTCAAATTCGAATTTTATTTAAATCGAATTCAAATAACTTACAAATACTAATATATGATTTACACCCCTAATCTTTTTTATACATAACCATACTTCTAAACACTATTTTATATCTTAGATTGGAATCTATTGTTTTCTTTTATATTTAGTAAGTTATTGGATTTACACGACACATGTCACTTTTCGAAAAGATAATAGATTACCAGATGGAGGGCAATCGACTGTACCATGAATAAAATTGAAAAATAAATAACCAAATTGTCCATCTGTGAATTTTCCCTCCGATGAGCAACAAATAGTTCAACATTGATGGGAATGCTCTCTAAGGCTAATTGAAAACCTGTCTAAGACTAGTTCGCTAGTTTTAGCGCAATTGAGAGACAATATAACAAGGGATGAATACAAGAAATAAGAAATTTAAGCCCGTAACACTTGGAATCTCTTGAATATTTGAAATAAATGAAGAATACAAATCAAGTTTTTTTATTTTTCAATGGTGATGGAGACTCTTATATATGTCTTGAATTTGAATTATAATTGTTGTGGATGATTTAGAAGAAAGAGCGTTGGTGGAAACTTAAGATTTGCACGTTTTAATAATCTGTCAGACCATAAGGATCAATCCTTTAGCTATAAAATTCAAAAATTATAACAGTAAACTAGAGGTCAATCCCTTTAAATTTATTTTTGGTTTTGAATCTTCCAAGTCATTCCCATAGGCGATTCAGTCTCTTTTTTTCTGATGCTTCGATAAAAAGAAATTCATTTTTTAATAAAAATAAGAGGTAGATCCGATTAAATCAAAGAAAGCATTTTGTGTTTTTAAGGATAGATTTTTATAAAAAAAAAAAAAAACTAAAATGTTAATCCTGCTTTGCATGGGGATTTTTTAATTTTTATAAAAAAATAATTTAAAAATTTTTATTTTTTTTTAGTTTTTAAATTTTTTAGATTAAAAAAAATGAAAATCTTATATTTAGAGTTTTTTATATGATTGTTTGTATTGATTGGTTATTGTTAATTTTTTTTGTAATTTATTAAAAAATCTCAAATCTAATATTTTGTTTTTTAATTATATATATATATTTTAAAAGGCTTTTTAAAAAAATATATTTAAATTTTAGATCTGATAATTTTTAAAAAAATTTATTATTTTTTGTGAGATTTGCTAGTTAATTTTCATGTAGGTTATTTTTTCAATTGATTATTTTTAGTTGTAATTTTTTTTGTCTTAATAAGTGATTGAATTAATATGTTAGTTAGTTTTAAGATTTTAAAGGTTGAGTTTTTCTTTGATAAGTTAGATATATTTTTATGGGTTTTTTTTAATTATCTAAGTTTTTTTTCTTAATAAAAACATTTGAGGACATTGTAATTTCAAACAACACATTATCATTTTTATACTCAACTCATATTATGTTTTTTTATTTTAATTATAATTAAGCAAATAATTTTTTTGAAAATTTTTTTATTTTAAAATTTTTCACATGGTAAATAAAAGGTTTTTAACATATATACTAACGGTTAAAAATATTTTTAAAAAATGAAAAACAATAAAAATATACATAGCAAACAATTGCCATATGTTAGTATACTATCCTTTAAGGGTAGTTTTTACATGGTAAGTAAAGGGTTCTTCATATACAAACCGTTAAAAATATTTTTTTAAAAAATTAAAAACAATAAAAAAAATACATAGCAAGCAATTGCCACATGTCAGTATACTATTTTTTAAGATAGTTTTTATATATAGGATATAGATGGGATAGATCTCTTTAAGGCAAAATCACTTGATTTCAAATTTGCATTTATCCACACATCCTCTTAAACATGTTGAATTTTAAATCAAGTGTTTTAAAAATTTATTGTTCAAGTATGGCATGGTGGTATTGTCAAATAGTGGATAAGCAAAGCCACGTGTACAAATAGTGAAACTTAAATTTATGATCCTGAAAACTAGTAGTTTAACAAAAGTATAACATGGAAAGGAGTTACAAAATGAATTTAAAATTGTGTGACAGGTGAAGCTAAGATTTAGGGCTTAAAGACAAAAACAGTGTTCTTTCTCTAATTCAACCTTTCTTAGTTTTCTAAATTTAAAAGTGGCCAAAAAATTGTAAGACTCTCAAATAAAATATTCATGATACAATCTAAACTATAATTAACCCTTCATTGGGCAGCAATATGCACTCTGCCATTGTTATTCCTAGTCTGTGAATGTGATTCACCCAACTCAATCAAAGGCTTTTTATAATGTCTGGTATTATTGCTATATACTTTTGTAGCTGGTCAATTATAGTTAGTCGATGGTTTCAAATTTATTATAATTTATAGTATTATATTATTTCTTAAAACAAAACAAGATCTTGAAAAAGAGGGGGAAATATCTATAGGATGATTTTATTTAAAAAAAATTTTCTTTAATAAATAAAATGTCAATAGGTACGATACGAAGAGGGTAAAGCATTCTTTATTTCTATCCTCAAAATTTTATAATTTATATTATACTCATCTCTATACTCATACCCAATGAATATTTTAAAATTTTTTTTATCTTCGAAAATATTTAATAGATATGAGTAATCTTGTATTTATAATTTTTTAAAAAATAAAAATAAAAATATATATTTTTGCTTTTTAATTTTTATTTTGTATATTTAAGTAAATTTTTATAAATATATATTAATATATATTTTTAATAAAAAATATTAATTTTAATTAATTGAAAATAATAATTTATATTATTTAATAAAATTTATTTATTAAATATATATAAATATATATGTAGGGTATAAGTATAAGATAATTATTATATTACCCATTATCCTGCATCCAATAAAAAATTTAAAATCATAACCATCTTCATCCCCGTACTCTTAATATAATACTCATTTTCATCTCTATTCGAATAAAAAATCGAATTTTCCTTTTAAGTGTGGATAAAATTTATATCCCTACTAATGAGTTCTAAATCAATTAATAGACTAAAACAAATAAAGGTGAAATGCAATTTGTTTTATGAGTTTATTTAATATATTATTGGTGTGTTTGTATATATATATATATGTGCTTGAATAATATAATAATATTTTATAAAAAATTAATTTTAAATAATTTTTAGGATGATAGTGCATAAAATATAAGTTTTTATTTTATTTATAAAGTTTTAAAGAGCAACCAAGAAAATTTTTTAAAGAGTAATTAAAATCTATCTCTAAACATAATTATAGATGATAAAATATATTTAATTTAGAAAACTATGAGAAGGCAAGTAAGTCTGTACCCAAAATTTTCCTCTTAATAAAACCAAATCTTAGAGGATGTATACACAGAATTAATTTGAAAAAGCGTCCCTCTTTGTATTCTTAGGTATTTAGGGCAGCGGTCAGATCTGCCCAAATTTTTCCAAATCATATATTAAGACCCAACATTCATTAGTTTGTTAAAAATCTCTCTCTTCTCTTATCTTGTTATGAGTGATTACCTCTGTTCATGTTCCGTAACTTGGGATTCTTGTACTCTGCTTTTCTCTGTTAAACCTTTCCTTTTGAGTTATACTTCAAAATCCAAGTTCATCCCTTACCTTCAAGTCTTGGGTTTTTATCTCTCGTAACAATATTTAAACGATGTGTTTTTCTTTAGTAATTGAATTTGGTTTGATGATAATCTGATATTGGTTTTTCTCTGTATCATATCATTAAGTCCTTTTTTCTTTTTTGGGTTTTTTGTTTGGAAATATATGGTCATGAACTTGAAAAGTTTGAGCTTCTAGAGGGATTGTTCAGTTGTCTTTTTCTTGTTACTTTTCAGTCAAATTTAGAAGCTAAGCTTTAAAGTACTCCACTAGGTTTTTTTAAGTATTGGATGACCGTTTTTCTGCCTTACTAGTTTCTTCTCTTCACCTTGAAAAAACTTGTACAGGGTTTTAATTTGTTCTCTCATGCCAGTTTTAGTATTCCTTTGATTTTGTACTTAAATTACTGCTCTTGAACTATTCATCCACTGCTAGTTTTCTTTTCTTTTCTTTTTTGTTTTTTTACTTTATCATTCTCTTTCAATGGCACCCACCAGCAGAAGAGGCAAAACAAGAAGAAAAACAAGCAAGCCAAGAAGAAGTCGTTGCAAGAAGAAGCTTGTAAAGCCCAAGATCAGTATTCAAAAAACATCAGAGTTGGAGGGTTTGCCTTCAAACTCTTCAGATCACTTTTCCAATATCGATGGATTTGATATTGAAGGAGTTGATGATGTCTCTGCTACAAGTCCATGCTCTACACCAAAAGCTGAAAGGTTTCGAATACCTGAGATCGATACATGCCCTCCAGCACCAAAGAAGCAAAGAGTTCTTTCCAATTGCTCATTGCAAAGAACTCCTATTGCTTTCTTTGCTCCTCCAGACTTAGAGCTCTTCTTCTTCTTTGCACTCAGAGATATCTCAGTCTGATGATAAGTGCTAGCTTTTGCATAAATAAAAAGATCATTCAATAGTTTAAGCTTAGGTGTTTTTCTATTTGATTTTCTTCTAGTTTTAGTTTGATATTTAAAGTTTGATATCATCGAGTATGATGTGAGAAGTTCAGACTTTTTTTGAGTGAGTAATTTGGGAAGAAGTTGGTAGCTATTTCTTTTTTGTACAAAGAAGACGGAGAATGAGGATAGGGGAAGCGATGCAGCTATTGATATTTAAATTTCTGCTAGATGTTATTTCTCTTAAGGTTGAAGTTGGTTGCATAAACCAATTAAATTATATTCCGAGTTCAAAGAAGTTGGTACCTATATTGCTTATCCTTTGGGGACTGATTTCAATTAGTTGGGTTTTCATATTTGTATTTAGCTGGGGCTCTCCAACTAAATTTAGCTTTAATTCCTACTTTTTTATATTTAATATTTCTTTTCGAATGTATTGCTGACTTTTGAAGTTTGGAAGAGTGCAATATTGTAATATGGGGTGCAATTTGAAGTTTGTAAGTGTGATTTTTGTTTCTTCAATGTTGAGTCAACCTGAGAAAGTGAAAGAATAGATGCTTCTTCCTGTATGCAAGTCCTAATCTCTCCTTGTTTTTTATTTCCTGCTCATGATAGAAGTAAGAGATTATTAGAACAAGATTTATCACAAAATTTCCTATCAATAAACTACTAATATCTTACAAGATTTGGGTTGATTTGATATTTGTGGCATCTTATAATAGAGTACAAGGCAATAAATTTTTGGTGAATATCACTTGATTTGATGAAAATATTCTTGTTTTTCTATGCTTTTGTGGGCACCCCAAAACACCCAATTATATGGAAGCACTATTGATTGTGTAAGAAAAATTAAATAGTTATCAGACTTGATTAATGGCTAAATTGGTGAAATTTGAGGGTTCCCCACACCCCATTGATTGTGATGAAAAATAATAGAAAAGACTTGTACAAAAGGTCATCCCCACATATTCTACTTTTGGAGTGAATATAAAAATCTTTTGATGAAGTTTTCAAGTTTTCCCATTTCTAGTTTGCTAACTACAGTTAAAAGAATTGGGTTGGGATTATGGTTACAACTACAAGACAACAACTTTTTGAGTGTGGAAGCAGCAAAAGAAAAACATACAAGAAGTCTGAAGCTGAAGGGTGGTTTTGTTGCAGTGTGAGAACAGAAAAGAAAGTGTTTTGGGGTGGTGTTGTCTTTAACATAATTTTTTCAAGGTTGAGATCATGGTGTCAGATTGTGCGTGTCTGAGCTCAGCCCAGCATTGCTAAGAGAATCCAATGAAGAGACTCGTGCGGGCTGCGATCATACTTACAGTGGAGAATCTCAAGAAAATTTCATTTCTCATTATATATTTTATGCTAATGATAATAATAATGCTGCGAATTCTCTCAATTGGGCAATCTCCATTATTTATTACTTCCCCCTTTCAATTATTTCTTCCCATCATTTTTCTTTTACCGCATGCTTATGATATATTTCTTCATTAGGATTAGATTTTTTTTTTTTTTTGGCTTCTTCAGGTACTGCTTAGAATATTATACGGGATTCACTTTTATTGAATCATAACAAAACATGATTGATTACCAAATTAATAACAATAATAAAGCTTATAATAATTTGGTACACTTGAAGCCATGGTCTCTTCATCTCAAACCCAGAGTTTCTTTATGCATGGTAATGAATTTTTTTTTATAAAAAGATTAAATTTTGAAAATAAGAAAAAAAAATTATAAGTGCTGAAATTTAAATTTTAAATTTATTAATTATTTTTTTAAGAATAATTATATAAACTAATTAAATTAAATTTTAAGTTTTGCATAATAATGAACTTTGTTCACTGTTAAGATGTTCAAACATTTTCTTCCTATTCATTTGCTGGGTTTGAACAAAAAATATAACTGATTTTAGTCAAAATTTACTTGGCAGAATAACCATCATTATTTCATATTCTTTAATTACTCGAAGAAAGTTTATTTAAATACTTTTGGTTTTTTTAGTACTTACTTTCCTAGTTAGATATCTCTAACATGAAACTGAAGGAAACAGTAAAGGTAATTTTGTTTTATGTTTGCTGTAGAAAAGTGTTCTCTCTTTCTATCAATCATTTTTTCAAGCATAATCATGATGATGGTGTTTAGATGATATAATTATATATGCTTCATCTTAGAAATCTTGCCTTGATTTAAATAGTTAGGTGCAGTTAGATAGATAAACTTTTTACATTTAAGTCTTATGTCTTATATTAATTATGACATTAATTTTTTAAGTAATATTGTTGCAGGTACAAATTGTAACAGCAGTCGGTATCAAAGTCACAGCCAAAATTAACCTTTTACAAACGACAAACGGAGATGTTTCACCAGAGGCCTGGAGATGATGAAGTTTAGGAGTGAAAAATATCACTGCCTTGATGTATGATGAGATGACTCGAAAAAGAGAAAACCAGTGGCCAATACTTTAGCTTTGAATGTCTCCCCTTGTTGGAACTTTTGGAAATTAATAATTGTAAGAGGAATATATATATATATATATACAGATGATGAAGGGGATGGTTGCATTCATGTCCCTCTGCTTTCAATCATGAGATCCCTTTCCCTTAGAGAAACCCCCTTTATTCTTTATCACACTGCTGTGGTCCACTGCTTGTTGGTTATGAGTCTTATGACCATTTCCATAGCCAAAAGCCATATCCTTCGTGAAGCTTTTCTGATCTTCCAACATTGATGTCTGGGGCATGAGTCATGCCATGGAATATGTTTCTCATGCAAGTATATATAAGCATACACATACATCTCATGTATATGTAAATATCCAGGCAGTCACTGTGCTAAGCTTGTAATTTAATTACATTTGCTGATCTATTTTTGGAGTCTGAAAGTTGACTCAAATATATTATTCATAATATTTTACAAAGTATTCTTAAAAAAAAAAAAAAAAAAGCGTAACATGATTCCTTTTTAATTTCAAGAGTTAAAGAAATAGTATTTCTTGAAAGTTAAAATTGGCTCAAGAATTGGTAACATTCTGAATTCACAAATCCTGAAGTGGACGCTAGACCGAACTTAATCAATCTTTAACAGCCAATTCGAGACCAAATAGATTCCAGTTAATCCGAGAAATTATTATTATTATTATTTGGTTATTTTATTTTAAAAAATAAAAAAATTCTAAAGATAATATAAAATCGTACATGTGTAAAATGAAAGAAAAAGAGTAGGAGTACATTGGAATGAGGGATGATACTCCCTTTTCAATTCCAATGATGAACTTATGTTAATTATCAAAGCAAGCACGGACTTTACTTTGATTATTAAAGTGAATTTTGTTTAATATCAGCAGCCTTGCCTATCTTTTCTAGAATCCGAGGTTGCCCTCGCTTCATTCACAAAACAAAATATTCTTAATAAAATATTATATAAATGAGTGAGTTGAACCAACTCTAGCTTCATTTTTAAAAATGTAGGATGATATGCTCGATCCCGTCCTAGTATTACTACGGAGAGATAGAAGTAGTTAAGGGCATATAAAATAAGAAAAAAGTAATTTATTTTCCAGATATAAAATATTAAAGTATACGAGCATATAGCTTAATTGTAGTTGCATGTATCTCTTGCTTATAATCGGGTTTGGATTTTTTCTTTTTGGTATTGTACTTATAAAAAAATAATATTAAAATTGATCTTAGATCAAAATTGTTAACATAATAGTTCACAAATTTTTGAGGGGTGTCTAACTGTTAATAGGGTATCCTAGGTTTTGGTCAAAGGGAGGGTATGTATCAAAAGGTTGAAAATGAAACTAATTGTGTTGGTTTGAGGCCTACATAGTCTCAAAGGGGAAGGGGAAGGGGAAGGGGATGGTGGGCCGGCTTTTGGAAAACACATTTGTATTGGGCTTATGTTTAAAGGGATCCTTAATGGCCATTTATTTAGAAGGTTACCTTTAACTTTTTTTTTTTAATTTATAATTTACTCTTCACTTATCTATTTAATTATATGTTTAAATTCTTTTGAATATGTAATTTTTAAAAATCTAACTAATATACATGTTGTTTGAATTAATATTCAATTGACGTTAGTTGTTTAATTTTTTTTGTACAAAAGAGATCGAAGCTTAACAAAATATACAAGGGACTAAAATGTTTTATTTTTAGTAAATGCTAAAAAATAAAGGCAAACAAGGAAAATTATATTACGACTTCATTTTTATTTATTTGTTTTCTTTGTTTTTGCATGGATATGATTGATAGAGAAGTGAAAGAGAAAAAAGATGAGAAAAAGCAACCTCTCAATTTTGTGATACTTTTTACTGTACAACATGTTGTTAAAGTTGGTATTATTATTTAATAAAACACATATGATCAGAATAGGTATGAATGCATGTTTGCCATGCAACTGTCATTCTCCAAAAAGAAAGATTAAAAGCCACAATGACAATGCTGATTCTTTTTCTTTTGCTTTTGCATTTTTTCCCCTTCTGTGATGAACACAAAATTGCTTTATATCATGAATATATAATCTTAATCTTAATTCATATTCATGTACAAGAACATCAAAAGCTGTTTCATGTATATTCGTTTTTCTTTTCATGTATATTCATTTTTCCTTTCCTGAAATCATGTCTTTGTGCTGATTTACTTCCTCTTGTTATAAAAATTCAAATTTTAACTCAATTGGTTCATATAAACACTTTTCAAAGATGACATTTAATAAATTTGAAATTCGAATTTTAACATTTTCAATATTTTCTCCTATTCTCTGGCTGCAGCCTTCTATTCTATTGGATTTTCATGGATATTCTTTGGAAATTACTCGGTTCACCTACTACTTTGAAAAGGCTAAAGGCAGTATATACGTATCTCTAGATCACTTTAAAGCTAACTGCTAATCACAGCATCTTCTTTCTCTATGTGTTTAGTACCACTAAAGGCCCTAAGGATCAACAATGGAAAAGCCCTGTCAAGCTGCAGAATCTTTTCAGATGTAATGCATCAATTGATCGATGTTTGCACTTCTTGTTTGGTACTTCAATTATTAATATCG